ATTGCCCAATTCTGTGAGACACCCCCCGTTATGTCTGAAAGCACACCAGTTGAGAAATTTCATAGCTTTATGATGGGAGCATCATCTAAGAAAAACATCTGCCTCAGTTTAATTAGGCAGTTCTCAAACATACAGTACTTCCTGAGGAGGAGAGTATGAAATTTAGCTTCATAGTGTTACAATGTACTGTAAACATGCGCCACTGAATATAAAAACCAGATATGTCTACTTATACTTTGATGAGAAGCATGTATGTTGTACAAATGGGGATTTTTGTAATGTTTTTGAAAGGTAAGGGGTGTCTTTCAGCAGTGACTATCCCAAAGATAATCTGCTTCATATCTAAAGTAGATGCTTTTATTTGATGTCAGTTTAGTTTTCTTTGTCCAGAAAATCACCATTCTTTAATTTTCTAATAAAGTACTTTTGTCATCTTACATAGTTACCCCTAATTGTAGGGGTAATGAATGAAAAAGTATGCTTTCACCTTCAAAAGCAGTCACATTTACAGTCCAATTTGGAAGCACAGCCACTCAGATAATAATCCAAACCTCATCAACTAAATACAAGCAAGCAACTGCTGCACCTAATGGAGTTCTGGGCAGTTTCTGGATAACTTGTCGGCTTGCAATTATGAAAAATGATGTTCAGCATCAAAGTCTGGCTTTATTTGTTGCGTTACTCTGATGTGAAATTAACTTGACTACAATCAAAGGAATCTAAAACTGGCTACACCATCCCCATCTATCATGTACTTGGATATGCTTTTGAAAAGCAGTCCCACAGATCTGGCTTTTCGAATTGGAGACTCCAAATGTACTTTTTTTTTTACCACTGCTACCCACAGATAGAAATATACAGTACATTGTGGGTAATTGTTTTGCAAAGTAATTTAAGATGTACTTCACCTTACTAATGACACAGAAATGACATAATTTAGCAGTGTCGATTTGAGAAATAGGTGCAGTATAAGCTTTTGGTCAGAGCTCAATTATGACAGAGGGTGAGAAAGGATTACCCACCAGACTGTTCAGAGTTATATTCCCTAGAAAGTTAGTAAGACGTGTGACCTTAACTGTCTTTGCTTAGTACAGGACACTAATTTGATTAAGTTTGTAGGTCACTGATGCACTCAACAGCCTCCTCAAGTTGTTCAGAGAAAGCAGCTAAATCCCTGCATTTTATTACCCACTGTAGTATAAGCCAAGGACCGTACCTTCACCTTTCTTGTGCATGATTACAAAAGAAGGAGAGGGTATCTACAGAAGTTTAAACAGGGTCAAGTGTGAAAGAGAAGGAGCAGGAGAAGAAGGGCATTTACAGTACATCCATAGGAAAGATGTGTGACCGAGAGGGAACATACACGGAGAGGAAAAAGTGCACAACAGCGCTGAACATTAATTGCCTTACTGCAAAAGTGTCTTGGGCACAAAAAGAGGTTGTGGAAGTGGATACTGCTCATGTGACGACTGCAGGAGGAGGTATAATATAAATTCTCCAACTCACTGACTGTGAGAAATAGCACAGTTCACAACCAAGTTCAAAAAACTAAACGGCCTGCTCTATTTTTTGCGTGCTGCTACAGTATGTAGAGAAAGAGAGGAGGTACGGGCTCCTAAGAAAATGAGTAAAACACAAATCCTTCTGATGATTTAAGAACACAAAGGTTACAGGCAAGAGGAAACCACTCAGCCCATCTACTCCATTGGGTAGTTATCAGCTAAGCAAACCAGGGATCTCGAATCTCACGTCAACCATGGTGAACCTACTGTAGTACATTTTCATTCTTTACTTTCAAATGATCAATATCCAATCTGTATCTGAAACAGAAGTCTGTTTTGTTTTGTGCAATTACAATTGCTATTACAGCTGCACAGCTGGTCTATAAGTGATAGGCCTCTGATATTTTTTATACAACCAAGAAGATTTCAGCCTTGATTACAGATGTATGGAGGGAATGACAAAGCTGTTCAGAAAAAAAGAAACTTCAACCCACAGAATTGATAAAGACATCAAACCAACCTATGGAGAACAATTTGACCTTAGAATTGGTGCAGAAAAATAAAAAAAAACACATTTGAAATAGCTGGTGCATCTGCTGAATGTAAATACATCACACATATGCCTTCTACACCGCATTTCTACAAGAAAAGCACAGTGAGAATTATTTGCGATAGTAGATGCATTTCAAATAATGGAATATACATTTTTATGATCTTAGATTACATTAATATCTGCTTATGTAATCCATTAACAGATATAAAACAAAATGAATCTAAAACTATGAGCAAATCTATTCTATTGATGAACTTTTATTAATCAATTCTTAAAATGTACAATAAATGAATGTTATTTTACAGTGAAGCGCCTGCATAACCTTTCTGAGACTAGTTCTACAGGTGTAAGGTTTTCCTTTCAAAGATCTGCACCTTCTTAATGGCAGAAACACAATGAAATATTATATAAAGTGGATTCTCCTTCAATTATTCAACAAAAATGTACTTGTATTTATTCATCCAGTAAAAAAAATTACAATTAAACAGACCCTAAAGGACCCGGCAACCACAACACTGTTCAAAACACAGGTATCACAATCCACCTGGATGTTAGTACAAGTGATTATACCCTGAAGTAGCATGAAACAAACACATTCCAAATTAACAGTAGTCAACTAAAATGTTGATACAGAACGCTCCATGCAAATTGAACTTTTAGTGACCTAATGGTACTTGGTAAACCGAGCAAGTAATATCTGCTACAGCTTTCTTAGTTTGCAATTCCCAGTTTCCTTAATACTTATTTACAACGCACTAGGGATATCATTTCACACTTGGACGGGTACCACGCCAATGATATTGCTTAAGGTATGCAACAAAAGAATGCTGATGGAGGTTTTCATTTATTACTGAGCTACTGACACGGCACAAGGCATGTTTATGGAGATAAGAAAAAACCCTTCGGGCTAAATTGTTATTAGAATTAGAATATACTGAAAATTGCACATGATTGTCTAGAGAAGCACCTCAAACTGGAACGGTGTTGACAGTGGTAGAATTATAATCTCTTTCAGTCAGTGGGGGAAAAAAAAGGACTTTGAGAAAAATATTTGTCTTTTTGTTAGAATACTCTACGGACTGTTCAAACCATTTGATGTACTTCTGCTATAACACACCAGGAGAAGATGAAGCCAGTTGTTAATCAAATGATAAAGGTCACCGAATATGAGGTTTGTATTTTTATTAGAACAGCATTTCTGGAAATAAAAATTGACTAGAAATTAGGTCACTCCCAGAAGTGTCAATTGTCGATTATTCTACAATGCAAAGAATAAACAGCTCAAAGTAAGGCTGTATATTATCTATGATGTGTATTAAGTTAATAGTATTTTACAGCTTTAACATTTTAAAAAGCGTAAATATTTTAACTTAGATTACACCCTTTAGTTGTATTGCATGTTTTTACTTCTCACATCAGGGCGAGCACAATCTCTTGCTTCATTTGTTGCGTGATCCAGCGTCGCCGGGGGGAAAGCTGATGTAAACGCGATACGTTACTCAGACCACACTGTTCTTCTCCGGTTTTTATCTTCCAAATCCAGCCCGTAATCCGCGCTCTTCGTCCTCAAACTACCCAAAATCCATAAATGAACACGGATCCACACCATATCCGGGCCGCAATCCGCAAACCGTATTTTTTTCTTTCGCGAGTCCGTTATTCTCTAATCCTTTCGTGACCACAATCCCAGCTCCTCTTTCTCCTCCAAACCGCATCCACTTTATCAGCTTCCGCGCCGGCTCACCGCTTCCAGGGCATTTATATTGTTTCTTGATGCGGCTCACCTGTGTCTCATTGTTTCGCTGAATAGGCCCTTTCCATAAGCGGGTCAGCTGGTTCTTCCTGGCGGCCATTTTGCTCAGGTGTGAGGTCCGGACATACCTGTTATGAACGATCCTTCTCCGGGTCATCTTACAATAGATACCTGGACTGTAAGCTTTCTAAACTATTTTGCTTTGCTTCATGATTGATTCACTCTCCACTTTGAATTTTTAATTTTGTATAAAGAAAACAGAATGTATAATGAGATAGAATGCACTTTGTAATAAGTACATATGAAAGAACCACATCTCACAGTAACTAATGACAGATTTTTAATTGTGCCTTCAATAGTGTGCACACTGTGAATCAAGAATACTTTTAATGAAACAGAACTGTAAACTTTGAGGTGAGTTTTCTAAAATAAATTCATGCAAAAATCCTTTTATGTTAGTAAGGTTCTCTTTACAGATTCAAAACGTTTTTTAAGCTGTTTCATATGACTATATGCTTTGCTCTATTTCAATGTCCCAATAGTGTTAGATTCTCAAGACAACCACAGTGCATTTAGGAGTCTAGACAATAGTGCCAAATTGTGTGATTTGTTTCACAAAAGAGAATCCTGCAGTCTAGCATGACACCTGAAAACCTGAGCTCTGTAAGTAACATGTGTCCCCAAAATTCTGCTTAAACTTGTTCCTGTTTCTAATACAGAAAGAGGCACCTGGCCTAATGACCTGATGACACACAGCATCTGTCATGGGGAGCATATGTTCAGCACTGTAGTGAAAGGAAAGACAGGATGAAAAACAGCTAGCTATTCCCAAATGGATTATTTAATGGAGAAATTGTTCTTTGTAATGTGATCCCAAAAGACAAATGAGCATAGGAAAGATACATCTTTGGTCCCAAAACAGCATCGTGGGTCCAGAAGAATGGAGAAAAAAAAACTAGCTCATTGTAAAAAGCAAGGCAAGGCTCAGTGAGCCACAAAAAGAGGAGAACATGGCTGCAATTTGCAACACCTGTGATGCAAATACAGCGTACAGAACACGGGCATTATCCATGAATTCAGTAACCTTTAAGAGAAACTCAAAAGACACATATGCATATCGAATAACATTGTATTAATACCACTGTACTGTATGTCTCTGTTAATGTGCATTGAGAAAAAAAAAAGTTCTTACCAACTGATGCCCATGAGGGCCCCACCCTGCATACTGGAGCTGAACGTTCTGAACTTCAGGAGGGTTCAAATTCTTAGTTTTCCTGTGGGAACACCAACGCAATGTTTTAAGATTTTAGATAGATCAATCAACCTAGCCAGTACCTCTCTGGAAGGTGGAGGGAGAACGGACCACCGAGAAAAAAAATCTGTGAAACTCAGGGAGTGCAAGTAAACACCAGCCACAAGATATTCCAGCGTGGCCTCAAGGCCCAGAGTCAAGACCTGCGTTGCTGCAGAACTGCAATATCGGCCACATCACTGCAATACTCCATATTGATAGTATGGTGTATTACCTAATACTGTACATAATAATAGCTAAACGTTTGCCCAAGCAGCTGTGTTCCATTTGCTTTGAAGAATTAGTTATACAGAGATTAGAGGAGATATTAGAAACTCTTCATTGCTGATCTCAAGAGTCAAGTTGATCCTGAAGGGCAACAGTCTTACATGTTACAATAGCAGCTTTAAACTGTTCCTGTTTAAGGACCTGGAAATGATGTTTTTCGGTTATTATCAGGCGACTGGTCAAATTAAATCGTTCAAAACCCAGCTGGAACCGGAACCACAGAAAGCTCAGTGACCGTTTTACCCAAGTTTGCGGTCCAACCCCCACCCCCAGGCCAAAATGAATGAATGGATGACCAATACTCTGCAATACCTCTAAAGTACACCAGGTGGCAGCACAGTCACAAATGTGCATTCAGTTCTGCCCAGATATACAGTAAGTACAAATCCTATTAAAAAGTAGTGTATTTTCAAAATTGTAAATATATATGATATGTTTAATTAAAACATCAACTAAGTGTAGCAAATCATTTTCTATATATGAGATTTAAAATGTCTCTGTCTCTGTAATGTCCTAATTCATACTTAAAGCATTAATTTCAATACTGTTCTCTTATATTTAACTGATTGTGTTACTCCCCTCAGAATTGGCTTAATAATTTTAGGACATTTTCAGAATACAGTTATAAAAATCATATTGCTGGTGGTCACCATTCAAATGGTAAGGCCATTGAAAATTCTTTAACTCACCAGAACTGTTGATGTACAGTAAGATCTACAGTATCATGTTTTATTTACTCATGTTTATTAGTGTTTTTTTCTAAAACAAAACCAAGGGAAGAGATAATTATCTAAATGGTACTCAAAAGCTATTATGCCTTCAAAACTAACAATACTGAAACTTTTATACATGATGACAACATGCCTTGAATATGTAAAGAGAATAGGGCAAACCCAATTAAAATGCGAATATTTGGGGTCTGCATTGTAAACCTTTCATTTTTCACTTTTATTGTAGTACCATTATATACCATTGTCACTGAAGAGAGCCTTGATGCGTTACATTATTATGTCACCTTGTGTGATTTATGATTGATAATATATGTATTAATGAAGCTCTCATTCTTCAGACTAATGATTAAATTTAACTATGTGCAATACTGAAAACTGTAAAATAAACCATTGTTTTTCAATAAGAACATAAACAAATACAGTGACAATAAAGCTGAATTATAGGGACACTTACCCATAATGGATCTCACATATAATATAGTATGCTGTAAAGGAGTGCTGGTAAACCTGCAAGCAAATAAAAAAACAAAACATTTACTGTTCCAATCAAGAAAGGAGACTTTCCTGTGTCTATGACTGTTACTCTTTATTAGGAAGTTGTATTAATAGCAATTAAATGTACTATTAATTTGACTTTTTACTATTAATACTGCATTTGCTTCTCTGATTCAGTATTGCAATTTTGGAAATCCAATCAGCGTGATTCTCATGCAACAGTAAGAACTATGATGCAAAGTTATCATTTTCAAGCATATTCTCTGTACTTAGAAAGTTTTATTTAATATCAGCAAGCTGATAGTGGCACATCTGATATAAACCTTCTGAATATTATGCAATGAGGAACTCGAAACAGATGGTATTCTTCTTTTGTCTCTTTCACAAATCATGTTGGTTGGGTCTATACTATTCAACATGTGATAGTTTAAAGGAAGTATCCATTTGTGAAATAATGTTTGTCTAAACCTGTATGTACCCCTGTAGCTATTAAGCCTAGATTTAAATTTCCACAGTAATCATATATCACATCTCGACTGGATTGTGAGTGTTCAACTGCACCTGTTTGGAAAAGACCCATCACGCCACAGGGAGAAACACACAAAACATGTGAGCTACAGCAGTAAACAAGGCTTCGCACCTAAATGCCACGCCTAGAATCCCAGAGGTTTCCTGCCTGCCATTTCCAGGATAGCAAGGATGAAATACAGTGGAGCAGGCCAGGAGAAAGGCTGTGAAGGGTGAGCAGAGCACTGATGTAGCGAGACTCAATGACAGTGGAGGGTCACAGCTGTCATGTGAATAGTGTGCTATCCATCACGACCGAGGGAAAGGCAGCATTTAAATCCTCTGTGGTGTCATCTTTGAATCGCGGCATTACTTTCCCATTTAACATCAAAAACTGTCATTTTTTTTTTTGCCATTTTGTTATTAGAGACAGAGCGGACCAAAGTTTTGCAGACCTTAAATTATTCCTGCCAGTCATGTTGCCTTTCCTTTATTAAATGAAGGCACAGCCAGAACCCCCCTCTCCATGCTGGCTGTTATGTGCTGCCACTTAACTGTGCACAGTTTGTGTAATTGCAAGACAAGGTCAACCATTAAAATATCCTATATCTTTTCTTCAAAGAGCCACTACTGTGGACCTTGAAGTTTGTCCTGCTTCAGGCTGATAGAAGACGTCAGAGCAGAGTCTGTTTACCTCCCACAACATTTTATAATGGTCTGAAATTTCACTGAAGCCCAACCTGCTGTGACAGAACATAGTCAATCTAATTAGTTTTCATTTTTTTTAATGCATGCGTGTCCCGATCTAATGATCACTTCAGCTGCAAGACTGTACAGAAATTGCCACACCTTGTAAAAGGAGCCACATTAATAATTATATCCATGCTGTGAGAAAAAAGAAAATTTAACCTGTAATACAGTTTAATCCGACATGCACTCTTCAAGGAAAGCACCTGGACTCTGTGTCACATATTGTGTATGTTTTTGTGTATGGGATTAAGATAAATAATATATCAAACATGCATGAACTGAAACTGTAACGTCAGCCTCATCAGTCACCCATTCTCTTTGCAGTTAAGTAGATGCCATTTACCCTTGCTTAGGATAATCACAGTGCAAATGCTTAATTGGATTAATTGATGAACACACTATTAATCACTTGTGCAATACTTTGTGCATATAATTACAAGAAACAAATGATTGCAGCTGTACCTTATGATTCAAATAATTGAATCTTTTAAACACCAGTTTATTAATATACAGCATATAACACTTATTCTGAA